GAGTTTTGATTATTGTCGAGCTGGTACCCTTGCCCCTGAGGTCAACTGTAATCATGTACGAAGTGGGTTTGACTAGGATGCTAGGTGTAAGGTTTATGGATATATCCTTCCAGCTTTCCATTGCGAACTAAAAATACCAACTTGTCCTTTAGACTTTGACAATCATCTGTATTGTGGCCGTACCCACGATGATAGTCATAATATTTTCTTCTGTCTGCTTGAGGGGAATCATGTAGAGGAGGAGGTGGTCTCTTGACCCAGTGTTGGATCTACGCCAAGATTTGTGACCTTGACGAGCTCAGAGGAATGTAGTTAGCATATTTTGGGAAGGAAGGCGGCTTTCCTCTATGCTCGACAACTTGCTGTTTTTTCTTTTCTTCTCTTTCTTCCAATTGTTTGTGCTCTTTATTTTGCTTATCGTCAGCTCGTCACTTGGACGATTGAAAGTCTTCTGACAAAATGAAGCTTGCCAACATATCATTCACCTCGTTCCATGACTTTAATGGATTTTCTAGCAGGTCGTCCAGTAATCTAACAAGCTTGTGGCCATGCAACGAGGTGGACAAACAAATGGTGTCAAGAACATTGTCAATGTCCAAGGTGGCCTTGTTGAACCGCTGCATGTAGTCCCTTAAGGATTCTCCTTCTTTCTGGTGAACCTGCATCAACTCGGTAGCAGTGCACTTTATTTCCCCTTGGCTCTTGATCTTGTTTAAGAACAAGGTGGCGAGTTAAGAGTACAAAGCTATGGAATGCCTGGGGAGCTTGCCTTCTAGCAGTCAACTTTAGGGTTACGGGAAATACTTTACACATCATAACATCCATAGCGTTTTGGATTTGCATGATGGCTTGATAGGTATGCAAGTGCTCGTCTGGGTCACTAGAGCCATCGTATGTTTCAAACTGAGGAATCTTGAACCCTTCTTGATATGGTTCTGCTATAATAGATAAGTTGAGAGGGGTGTTATCCAAATCAATAGCTTGTTGGCTTGTTGGCTTGTTGGCGCGACCTCGGACTTCTCAGCTCATTAATAAACTTCTATACATCTTTAAACTGTCTTTTGAGGTCAACATTGTTCCTCATCAACTCTTCATTGTGTTTTGACGAGCTGGGCTCTGGGTTTGACTTCCCACTTCCCCTTGGCTTGGTCGAAACTACTACATTGCTCAAAGTTGGGGAGTTGCGAGTTGCAATTTTTGCAAGTTGTTCACCCCTACTCAACAGAGGAATTAGGGGGTCATCAAGGATCAAGCAGGAAAGTATTCTCCCCATAGCCATTTCTAAGACCTTGGTTCTTTCTTCCAACTCAGACGTCTGAGTAAATTCCATGGGTCCTCTATGTCGTGATGTGTTGTGTGCGGGGTGCCTTCGCCTCGCTTCTGCTGGAATCTAGAATGCTTCCTTAGGCTGGGTTGCATACCCAACTGGTGTTCTTTCATCATTTAAACCACTCAAGTGTTCTTCTTCTACTCCTCCTACAAAGAGATTTCTAGGCATTGGCCGAAAGTCGCTTAGGCCGAACTCTAAAAGCTGAGTGTCGTCCTAATTGTCCCTTGTATTCTTTTGAGGGAGCTAGTTTCCAGTGAAAGTACGCACCATGTTTAGCTTCAACACTAGCAATGCTGCTTCTTTGCTCGTTTCCCACAGACAGCAACAAATGTTGGGGCAGCTTCATGAGCCTACACTGTAAAGATCTTCAGCTACTTTAACACCTGAAAATCTCGAGGATATTTCCTCGAAGAAACCACTCTGACGCTTAAGTCAGCAATATTCAATATTCTAGAGAGAGAAGCTCTCAAGAATAATTGCAGACAGAGAAGCTTAGTGGAGTTATTATCTTAAGTGAAGGTAGGTGGGGGTATTTATTGCCCCCATGTGATGACATGAGTTCATACGTGTTAGAATCTGATTGGTCCACATGTCATCACTCACGTGGGTATGTCTAGGCTAATGCATAGAGGCATCTTCATTTTAGACTTATAGATAAATGACTGGATCTATTGCGCATGGTCCAAGTTGGATGTTAGTCCCATTCCCAACACAAAACAAGTTAAAAATTGAAGCCTTCTCCAAACTTTTAGCACTTATGTACAACCTAGTCTGACATGATTATGTTTTTATGTACCTGGAAGAATCGTGAAGCTGAGCTGACTGTGAAATCAGTGTATGAATCAATGTCATATTCAGCTCTCCTAAATGGGTAAGTACTAGAAATATCATTGGTTCCGCATAAGGCCAAGAACAATGATTTTGAAAGAAAGCTAGCAACTTGCTCTTCCCGTAATACTGACTTTATCCTTGCCTTGTATTCCTTGAAAAACTCTAGTTGATCCGACATTGAATAAACAGACTAATGATAAAGGAAAGAGATTATAAAATAAAAAATGTTAAGTGATGGAATTGTCGCTCTCCCTCCACACTCAACTCTTCTTGTTTTGAAAATAGGCAATGGACTCCACACTCAATTCATGTGCTTCCCTTCATGTATCGCAGCACAACTTGTCGTGGAATAGATATTTTTTATTTACATTTGTTTCGTATTAATATTTAAAAAATATATATTTTTCAATTGGGTTTTTAAAAAGGTTTATTTAATATAGATTAAAAATTAATAAATTTATTTTTTATAATTAATTTACATAAAATAATAGAAAATTAACATTTATTTTAATATTATTAACACATAAATAATTACAATTAATTAATTAATTAATTTAACGTCAACATTTACCTTTTTCTATAAATTAGTTAAAAAATATTTTAATTATATCTCTTAACATGTACCCTTAAAAAAACCTTTCTAAAAAAATTGAGAGAAAAAAAAAATGTCTTAAAAGCAAAAATGAGAGTATTTTAACTGTTTTTATAGTATTTTTTCTTATAATGTTTTAGAGACCTCACTAATAAAAACTAATCTTTTAATATTATTAGTTAC